CGTCAGGCCTTGCCACCAGCCAATTGGGCACAGGGGACAGAGAGAAGTGGGAAAGAGGTCAGGGATATGCCCATGATGATCACATGATCCAGGCTGACTGCAATAGCGCAGCAGTGCTGAAGCAGTCACAAATTTCCCAAATTTCAATCCCGCAGGAGTAATGGGTCCCAGATTTTGGGCGCATTCTGTAAGTTAGCCCATTTGAGGTACCTTGGTTCAAAAATTATCGTCCTACGATGCACCGTTTCACCCAGCCGAATGTTACAGACACAAGAGTTTTAGTAATATATAGATAACTAACACTTTGAATTGCACTTGGAAGCCAATTGGCAGCCAATGCAGCTCACATAGCAGTGGTGAGTCATGGGCACACTGAGAGGTGCCCATTACTGCTCGTGCTGCTGCATTTTGAACCAGCTGTAGCTTCTGGGTGGTCTTCAAGAGCAGCCGCATGTAGAACATATTGCAGTAATCCAATTGTGAGGTGACCAGGGCATGAATGACTGTCTGAAGGGCCTCCCAATTGAGGAAAAGGCACAACTGGTGCACAAGATGAACCTGTGCCAAGGCCCTCCTGGCTGCAGCTGCCCCCTGCTCTTTGAACAGTAGCTGCAAGTCCAGAAGGTCCCCCAAGTTGCACACCAGTCTTGACTGGGGAAGCGCAGCCCCAGCCAACACCAACGACGGTGACAGCCGCAACAGCCATAGCCACTCGGTCTTGTTAGGATTGAGCTGAAGTCTGTTTCACCCCATCCAGATCTGAACAGCCTCCAGACACTGGGTCAGTACATTGACAGCTTCACCATGTTGCTTGAGGTGGAGACGTAAAGCTGGGTATCAGCACGCTGATGATGCTGCACCCCGAACTGGCAGATGACCTCACTGGTGGTTTCGTGTAGATGTTGAACGGGAGAAGTTCATATTCTGCAAGTAGTCCAAGATGCCCAGATCCTTTATAGATGTTCTGCTGCCCAATCTGGTTCTCTTCCATCCTCAACTTGTGCCTCTGGCCATTGAAATTCTTCTTGTTGGTTTCTGCCCGTCGTTCCAGCTTGTCAAGTCCTCTAAAGTAGTTCCTATCCCTTCTATCTTAGCGCCATTGCAAATTGGGTTATCCCATGGTAGCTCAACCAAGTGAGAAAGGGTAACAAACTCCACTCCTGCGCACATTTTTTGCTTTAAGAAACCCCATCCCGGCTCCGTAGCTGGGGAAATCCTGGATATACGCAAACTGCACCCTTTGATCTCCTGGGCAGATTCCAGCAGCCGCCAGCTTTTCAGGTCCTTTCATGGCTGCTGCTGATGGCTGGTTGGAACAAAGGAAAGTGGGAGGGCTGCTCAGTAAAGTCGCCCCTCACGTGGGTCCCTCGTGGCATCCTCCTCCCATGCTCTCCACGCGGGGAGACTATGTAGGGTTTTTTGTCTCCCATGTACCGGCATGCCTCTTCTAGTGATCAATGCTGCAGTGATCAAGGCGAGAACGTGGCAGGTGTTTGGCCCCCGTCTCTGCCAGCGGCATGCCTTCTTTCTGCTTCCGTAATCGAGGCCTGTTGGGTGCAACGAATGGCCCAATAATTCCTGTCGGGGGAGAAGCATCCTTCCTAGTCGAGCACAACACGGGCACTTGGAAACTGCCCCCTTCGTGTCTGACAGTGGCTGAGAGGGGCTTTTTTCCATTTTCTCGTGCTGTTTGAAAATTTCTTTCTGGTTTCTCAGCGTGATGGCTTTCAGGTGTCTGCCTTATTGGTGGCAGCAGAGGACGTCGTCTTCCTGGCGTTGCCTCTTCTCCAGAGCTGCTTTTCATCCCTCAGCAGCCTCCCTGTCGGCTCACGCTTCTCTTTCTGAAAAAGCCCCTGAAAAGGAGAACGATCTTCACAACGCTGTCCCTGGGGGTCGAAGCTAGGGAGGTGGCAGAGTGCCAGAGAAAGGACTGGGTAGTGCAAGGCCAGACATCCTCGTACACAGCTTGACAAGCTGGTGGCTGAATAACTGCAAGAAAGGCCCACTGTGAGGTTCCCTTCTTTGCAACATTTCCAAAGCACATTTGCTGTCATCAACCTGAATGCTATGGGGAGGAAAAGATGCTGAAGAATTCCTCTTTGCAGACCAGCGTCAGTCATACTAGTGGTGCTGTTCTCAAGAGTTTGCTGAAAAAAGATGTTTGCAAAGCTGCTTGTCCTCTGTTTTGGACAATGTGGATTAAGCAGAAGACCAAAGGTATCAAAGGAATCTACTTGTGCCCAGCACCTCCAGGGCGATTATGCCCCTGTTGTTATCCAGCTTTCCTCCTATGCTTTTCACAACCACTTGACACAAAGCGAAGAGGCTGCCAGATGCTTGCTTCTGCACGTGCCGGCAAGAGCTTGCCCTGCCAATTTCTGCCAATCAAGCAGTTGCTAGAGGTGCAGGGGGGTGGGGGGTGGGCTGGCATGTTGGCAGGAACACATACATGCCAAAGACTGTTAGCAGCCTGAGAGATTGTTTGGACTTCTCCAGCTGATTCTAGATTCTGTAGGATCTAGCAGTGTTGGCGTCTTCCAGGCCCCACCAACCAAACAGTGCTGTGATGGACTGGAATGGTGGGAGGGGAGTAAAGAATGTGCTCTCATCTCCAGAGGAATGAGGAAGAGATAAGCGGAGGAAATTGGCACCTC